AAGTTCCTGCAAACATATCAATCTTACCAAACTTTAGAAACGCACACCCAACAATATTAGTGTGGTCGAATTAACGGAAACCTGAAAATACCGGAAAAAATTCAATCTGTACCACAAATTAACATTTCTTTTTTTTATGTGAATCGTTATCTTGGAACTCTAGATTTGAAAATAGGCAATCGAAGACAACAAATCCATAGTACATCATAGTGGTATTGCTAGGACGGGTTTTTATTAAATAGGTGTCTCCATTATGGAATTTAAATATATTGTCACTACTATGACAAAAACTAAATACAAACTCGCCGTGTTGTTTGTGTCTACGCATCTCGCAGAGCCACTACGTGTTGTTTACATCGGGCTATTTATATCGGACAGCTCGGGGGCTCGTCACACACACACACATACACCGGTCAAGGACAATGTCTGGTGCGCATTTACCTGTAGACGCAGCTGAGGTTGATTCTGAACTGAATCACTGGTTCATAAAGGGGTTGACGGTTGATGGAATTTCACGTCGCACCGCCGAATCCACGTCTAATTAGCTAAGGCATCGATCGGACATTCTACCAGTTAGTAGGCATAGAGAGTAGTAATTTTCAGATTCATTCATGGACTTGGAAAATCCACGACCTTGGATTTGACCTATTATGTGATCAAAGTTGGATTTGAAACATTGAGTTTCAATAGCCTACATTGTAAATAGTTTGAAGACAAACTTGGACGACATTATCGGTCAGGTTTATTGTCCAATTGGTTGCCTTCAGATTGCATTTATCCCATCAAACAAAACTATTGTTATCGTAATCTACTGTAAGCAAACGTAAGTTCGTTTAGAATTTGTGTACTTGTGCTTATAGACTTTATGAGTTTGAAATTAGGAATGGCATTCTCCTCAAACGAGTAGGTAATTAACAGCGCCAGTATCGTACATCTTCAACAATCACAACTTCCCAGTATCTTAATTACACTGTAAATATGAAGTTCAATAAATATCACTGGGTTAGTTTCCGTTGTCAACAGTTGTGTAACTGTTACGTGATGCAAACGAAAAGAATAAAATTCAGGTATGGTTGAACCTATTAGAACGGGGAAGTGTAAGATTTTAGAATTCTATACGATCGTCTCGACCGAATTAGTCTTCAATGCTACGAATCGAGTTGACTTTCGCCAGTGTCTTCCATCGAATTTCTTTTCGTCGGAAACGTTTATTTTTATCAAGGCGATCGAGGAAGACAGCGTCCTTGATAGATACTGTATCGCTACACTGTGTGGTGTACTGTAGTTGTGAGTTGATTATTGTTCTGCATGCATGCAAGACGCTTCTATATTGGTGGTTTTAACACATTTTTGTTTTTATACACTTTTAATCACTATGCGTAAACATTTTACGGTGTTCTGTGTAGTCTCTTTAGCTCGTGCATTGTCCGATATCATCATAACTTTTTGAGTACTTAGGTTTTATGCTGCAAGGAAGACAATCATTTGCGTTTTTATTGAAATATTGATAGCATAGTATGAAGTTAACAAATTTTATGATTTTCATTCAAATATGTCTACAGACAAGCAAGCTACAACGGTTTATTTATTCCCCATAAGAATAACATGGTCATTTTGAAGTTTAACGTTTTGGGATTTTTTCCGTAACCGTTAGACATACAACGATGATTCAGTATACCAAATCATTTGCTTTTTTTTAGCTCTATATTGGTTTGGAAAGAAGTTGAAAAATTGTATGTCTTAGGGTGAAAATGGGAAAGCCCAATTTTACCCCATAACCCCCCCCCCCCCATTTATAAACCTGTTCCCTTAGTCCGATAATGCTGGTTCGCGAACTAGACAAAATTTCATTAAAAACGGATGATTTTTGCTCGAGTTGTGCTAACGGACGCATATTAAATTACAGACATATAACATTATAAATATATTTATATGAATTTGAAAGGATGGTGTTTTTAGCCTCTGGAGACCTCAAAACGAAAAAGTAAATCGGTCCTGGGTCCAGGTCTTACCATGAGACCTACGGTAATAGCTTGACATGGGAAATTCGCTAAAAATGGCCACAAATATAATTTAGAATTATATTTCTTAGATTCTTATATGGCTCAGTCAAATTTCAAACGCAATTGGGTCAATCCATATCAAGTGGTCCAGAAATAAATTAATTGGTTGCTTCAAGATTTTTAATTTTTTTCATATTTTTATCCTTAAAAGTACATATCATTAGAAGTACAAAAATACAATTATTTTATTTTTATTTAATTTTTCTACTGTATGGCGGCCATTTTTTTGTTAGTCGAATGCCCGTTTTCAGCGATTTCAGAGCTCTATGTTAAATTAAATATCTCTGGTTCTACTAATCCTAGAACATTAAAATAAAAACCAATCTCTTCAGAAAGATCTAAACTTTAATATGGTAATATAGTTATGCACTTAAAACTAAATATATAGGTCTAATTACCTGTTTAAAGTTTAACGCAACGATGTTACGAAAACAGATTTTTAACAATTTATTTTTACATAAAGGCAATTGACTATGTGTTTGTTATTTTTTTATCTGATAGTTATAGGTGTGTACTCCAAATTCTCAAAGTTTCAAGTTGTGGACTTGCATAGGGTATTAAATACAAAATTTCAAAATCTTAAAATTTTCAAAATTTCAAAAGTTTGACGTTTAATATCGCTGTTGGGCATGAAAATAAAAATTTCAAATTTGGCTCAGATATAGTACTAAGGAAGAGTATTATCCTGTAATAATTTTATTTTGTGGACTCAACTGGTTTTAAAGTTATGAAACATTGAAAATTACTCAAATAAGCATTATACGTGTAATAGCGTAGGAAGCGTAATATGATATTATAATGTATTTTATTAATAATGCTATATTTTAATAATAGATTTTAAGCATTTTGATGTTTTAAAACACTCTACTTTGTTGTCTGCCACGGGTATGTACCTACAAATCTGTGAAAGGATTGTGTTCAGGGAATTGGTAGACGTCCTTCAATATTGAAGTTCTAGTTCATTTTTTGCTACTTCTTCACTCTCAACATAATAGTATTGAATACCTTTAAGGTTTTTTTAACAAAAGTTAAACATATCCTTAGCATTCAAAATTTGGTTGTCAATGGTACATTGTAGACTATTAGTGACTTCGCTCTTTGTAGTGCCTCCTACACCATTGCAGGCATTTTTTCCGTGCGCAGTAGTGTATCAAAAAATGCCTCGCAGCTGGTATTTTAGTACCTGTGACTGAATATTTCAGTAAAAAAATTGTTTTATGATACTGTATAGCCACGGCCACCTATAAATCCAGGCCGTGGCCTGGTAGAATTTGCAACGTCACAAGTAGTGTTGTTTAGCGCCAGACGTCCCATAAGATAACATGGCTGACTTGTGTATTAATTGAAATTTATGAACATAAATGAATTAAAAGAAAATAAATCACATAGAGTTTAAAACCAAAACAATATTAATTTAAAAACCATTTCTATAAATTTAAAGTAGAGTCATTATTTTCCGATGGTGTAGGAGGCACTACAAAGAGCGAAGTCACTAATAGAGTCTACAATATACCATTGACAACCAAATTTTGAATGCTAAGGATATGTTTAACTTTTGTTAAAAACACCTTTAAGGCATTAAATTCCTTTATGTAGACAATGAAGAAAAAAATGAACTAGAACTTCAATATTGAAGGACGTCTACCAATTCCCTGAACACAATCCTTTCACAGATTTTTACTGTGGCAGACAACAAAGTATAGTGTTTTAAAACATCAAAATGCTTAAAATCTATCATTAAAATATAACATTACTAAACAAATACATTGATAGTGTATTATAATATAATATTATGCTTCCTACGCTATTACACGTATAATGCTTATTTGAGTACTTTGCAATGTTTCATAACTTTAAAACCAGTTGAGTCCACAAAATAAAATTACTACAGGATAATACTCTTACTTAGTACTATATCTGAGCCAAATTTGAAATTTTTATTTTCATGCCCAACAGAGATATTAAGCGTCAAACTTTTGAAATTTTGAAAATTTTAAGATTTTGAAAATTTATATTTAAAACCCTATGCAAGTCCACAACTTGAAACTTTGAGAATTTGGAGTACACTCCTATAACTATCAGATAAAAAAATAACAAACACATAGTCAATTGCCTTTATGAAAAAATAAATTGTTAAAAATCAGTTTTCGTAACATTGTTGCGTTAAACTTTAAACAGGTATTTAGACCTATATATTTAGTTTTAAGTGCATAACTATATTACCATATTAAAGTTTAGATCTTTCTGAAGAGATTGGTTTTTATTTTAATGTTCTAGGATGAGTAGAACCAGAGATATTTAATTTAACATAGAGCTCTGAAATCGCTGAAAACGGGCATTCGACTATAAAAAAAATGGCCGCCATAAAGTAGAAAAATTAAATAAAAATAAAATAATTGTATTTTTGTACTTCCAATAATATGTACTTTCAAGGATAAAAATATAAAAAAAAAATTAAAAATCTTGAAGCAACTACCTTTGGACCACTTGAAATGGATTGACCCAATTTGCGTTTTATTGAAAGAAATATATAGCTAACTTGTAAATCATCGGAATAAGGAAAAACTCTCATTAATGTAAGGAAAAAACATGAGGAAACCCGGTTTTCCTGTTAAGGTTTACAATGCTTACCTACACGTTCAGTACGGAATGGATTTATAACGCAAACTGATTACATTTAGTTTTAAACGTTCGATCAATTTATATAAAATTAATTTTTGTATTTTAAGAATTAAAGAATCCCCATAATACAATTCTACGTATTTTTATTTTACTAAATATAATTATATTCTCTAATTATTGAAATGCTAAGGATCGTAAAATATTATCCAATTACTATATTATTTTACACTTGAGCTGTATATGTACTGTGCTATAAACAAATGTTTGATCATAGTATAGGTACAGATAAATGTTGCAATTGCACTAGAGACTTACTGTTGATCTGTATATCATAGTTGTTGTACACTGGTCCTCTTATGCTCTGATAAGCCATTACATCTGTCATGTATATCAGATCCATGGCTAGGCTGTGACGCGCTAACTGTCGACTGATTCCCACGACCGCATCTAACTAACTAAACTAACTAAACAACAAACAACTCAGTCTCACTCCCCTCCCTCTACTCGCGTGTGGATCCCTTTTCCCTTTTATCCCGCGCTGCCCTATATGATATCCCGTTTTATTCCGCCTTATCTGCGTTAGCTTACCTTACGTTTGCAATTTGTTTTTCGTATTACAGTATAAAGATTTTGTGTGTGTATGCTTTGGGGGACGTATATAGGCTAATGTATAGGCATTCCAAAGCTTTTAGGCAAGGTATGCAATTGAGTAATAGTAATAGGATTTCATACTGTTTGGAGAAAATATATAAGTGGCAATCCAACCAGGCAAATGGAAATTCGCTGCAGGTTCGCTGGGGCGGTGGTATTTTAAACTTATTAAGATCGGAAGCATGTTGAACTTGCTCTTGAGAGGCAGCCTACGCTGATAATATAAATTCTGTCAAATCGATAAACATGTAATATCAGATTTCTCGCAGCAACAAATAGACGAGATTGCAATTTTAAGGCTTCGACATCGTTACATCCTTATGACCGTTATGATTGTCATACACGGGTTTGAAAAATAAAAACCAAACTGATCTTGAAATGACACACTTACTTGTATCACTTTAGAAACACTCCGGGTGGCATTGTTGATCTTTCTGTACAATTTGTTATTGTTATGTTAAACCACAGAGAAGTAATATAAACTACGAAGTTAAACAACCCCACTCGTCCAATATTTTCCCGGATTCAGCTGTAATATCCCGCTTTTGGGATAAAATCCCACAGCAGACGCACGGAGGCCGGCGATGTGGCAGAGATAAGCATTTATGACTCGGCCGTTGGGGTAGATTCCTGGCCCACTCACTACAACTGTACAACTACAGTACTACGCTATTCAGTACCGACTGAGATTGGTGAATAGATTAAATCTTATATTAAATATATAAGTAAATAAGAGTAAATATAAATAAATAGAGCCCAAGGACTTTTTCAAAAATGTAAGGTCATTTTGCAAATCTACACACCTAGACGAACACTTTTGTATATTATAGTATGTGGGGTGAAATCTTAAAACAAAATTTTATTATTATTTATAAAATATTATTATTTATTAATACGCTACATGAAATTTGTAAACAACAAGGCTCTGCCCCAGTGGCTTTTAAAGTTCCCTTATCCCTTATGAAGAACATATTTGTTTACATTATGATTAGCTGGATAATTTAATTGCTGTTAATATTTTAGTTTAAAACATTTGCCGGCTTGGTTGAAGTGAAATATGTTCGATTTAAATTTGGGTTGGCGTAAATATTAGAATGGAAAAAGCGAGAGAGCCTGTACAATTTGTTAAACCGGTTCTGTGCTGCATTTCTTCAGCAATCATTGAAAAAGCCGATCTGCAAACTATGGAAATATATGAATGAATGTCATAGAACACCACCAAGTAGAAGAAATAAAAATGATGTTATTTTTTTTAGAATTTATAATCGTTATTATGGACAACCTAATGCGGCTATGAGTGGGGAACATTTGTAGAAAACACTAAAAAACAAGATCAGCTTTTGAAAAATGATAGTATATTTACAATAAATGTTGATTATATTGAACTGTTATGCACATCGTGAGTATTTCCATAACCTTTGAGTCAACTCTTTTAAAGTCATCTAAAATTATGACTGTTATTCGTTTTAAATTAACACCTGTAATACCTCGCAATTGCTCGAATTCGAGCAACAAGTACACTAGTGATATGAAATACTGTAGATTAAATTATTGTTAATTGCATACATGGTAAAACCAGACCTAAAATCGTATGGGGTTGTCTCATAAACTCCCAAATTTTGCTCAAACACAAATTTAAAAAATAATCTTGGGATAAACTATGAATAGACCTAATTTGACCTTTGAAGATTTCTTATCTTGCAATTGCCATGTATGAGCTGTGGGACTGATTACTGATAAGTTTAGACTGTTATCAGTGGGAGTGATGCTGGGAGTGATAAGGTAGCAGAGAGGAGACTTTATCTAGTGACTGTTTATTTATGGCTCTTTTGATCATAGCATCCTAAAAGTAATCGAAAACTACTATGTTCTGTGGTTGCCATATATGGCACCTCTATCAGTATAAAGTAAAAACATAATATTTTACTCTCATCACAAGTATTAGATATGATTGTTACAGACAGAGTATTAGCGTAATGCCAATGGATTTTTACTAATTTTGTTTGTTTTATGAATATTTTTTCTAACGATTTACAACCCACCCTTAGTCGTGACACCCACTGACAAATTTCTAAACTTCCACATTACAGTTGAGTAGTTTTTAGACCATTTAGAAAAGTAAATGTCATCACTCATAATCTGAACATTAACATTTGGCCTGAGTTCAGCACATGTCTACTGTGTTTGGTAGCCAACTGTATTTAGTTGCACAATGTTGTATTATACTATTTGATTGGTTTTGTTGTGACAGGAAAGTCTGGGTGGCAACTCTCACACAGCCATGTTGGCCACCATCAGTCCGAGCAGTCAGTATGTAGATGAAACATTGTCAACACTGAGGTATGCCTGTCAAGCACGTAGCATTGTCAACACTGTTCGTATAAATGAGCGACCTCACGAGAGAATGATCAGGTGAGAACAAACAGTCACTTGTGATTACACAGATAAATTTCAGTTTGATTCTTTGTATCTTGTCTTTGTGTCTTGTCTTTGCCCCAATGACTTAATGTTGGAGATTCTTGTTTGTTTCAGAGAACTAAAACAGGAAGTTCAAAGGTTGAAAGAAGATAATCGGTCAGTAGATCATAAAGAATGTGATCAAAAACTACTTACACTTCAAGAACATCTCGATCGGACTACTAAAGAACTGGCCAAAGCTAAAATCTTCTGTGATCAAAGTGAGAAAGAAATTTTAAAATTGGAAAAGGAATGGGAAAAAACTAAAGTCATTGACTTTCACGAATATTGTAACCAGAAGATTCAAGATTTGGAAAATGAGTTAGCTCTGACTGAAAATCGTAACAAGAAATTAGACAGAGAAATCAAGGAATTGAAAAAAGATTGTTCGGAGGTAAATGAAGATAAGTATGAATATGAGATACAAATAAGGCAGTTGAAAGGCACATTGGAAGATTTGAATGAAAGGTACAACCGTAACAAAGAAGAATTATGTCGGCTTGAGAATGAGTTGGAAGAGAATCAAAAGGAAAATAAGCAGCTAAAAGCTGAGACCAATAAACTGAAAGAAGATCTTTGTGAATGCTCGGAGAAAAATCATAATTATGAAAGAGACATTAGTGAGATGAAGAACAATATGTTAGAAATAAAGAATAACTTCAATCATAACCATTGTGACAGCCAAATACTGATGTTGCAGACAGCCCTGTGTGAGGCAGAAAGGTTTACTCGTCAATATCAGGAAATATTTCAAACTTTAGAGAAAAAATGTACCGAAATGACAACTCAATCCAATCATGAAGGTTGTGAAAAAGAAATCAGCACTTTGAAGGAAACAATAAACGAATTAAAACAGTTTGCTGACCATGGAAAATGTGATAAAGTAATTGAAAAATTGAAAAGCTCTTTGACGGAATCAGAAAAAATTTTATCAGACTTGCAAGATGAAATTATCAAATTTAAAGAAGAAAATTCAAAGCTAGAAACAGTCAAGGAAAGAAGCCACAAAGAAATCCTTTCCTTGAAAAAAGAGCTCATGCAATTGTCTAAGACAGCAAGCCATACTGAATGTGAAGAGAAATTAGACACTTTGAGAAAGGCCGTTGCTGTTGCAAGATCGATGAATGTCCACATTCAATGTGAAAACCGCATCAGTGAACTTGAGAAGGAAGTGCGAACTTTGCAGTCGGTAGCTCAATCAGACCACAATAAGTATAAGGAGAAAATTGACGGTCTGTTCTACGCAGTTGAAAAGTATGCTGATGAGAACAGCAATCTCACAAGAAAACACGAGGCAGAAATCAGCCAGTACATTGATGAAAAAGACAAGCTGATAAAAACGCACAAAGAAGAAGTCAATCAGTACGTCGAAACAATCCAAAGTTTAGAAGATGAATTATCTGCTTTGAAGGCCGAATTAGAGGATAAGAAGAATATTAAACACAGTTATCAAGATGTAGTTTACTTAGAAAGCCAGCTGAGATCTGTGAAAGATGAGAATTCAAAATTGAAAAAGAAGAAAGTTGAGGATGAAAAACGGATATCGTCTATGGAGCAACAGGTCATTTCTCTCACAAAAGAACTTTTAGAGGTGAAAAATCAACTTAGAGCTTCTGTGAGGTAAGTTGCTGAACACTTCTCGTCTCATATAACTCTCTTTGCATATACCTTAAGACTTAGAGTCTAGTATTACTACAGAAGTTACAATTGAAAGTAAATCTGGATAGATAATCCTGTATCTGCTTGCACTATGATTCATAAGTAGTAATCTAGTAATAAATTAGTGCAGGGACACAATTTATGCACACTCTAGTCAACAATGTGGTGTATAGTACAGCATTTTAACCATAACAATCCCATGTAGGCAGTCTATTAGGGGTTTGTCAATTTGAAAATTTTCTTGAGAATTTTCTTTGAAAAAGTTTTGTTGTCCCATCTAGTGTATCTAATGTAAATCCTACTCATTTGTGATAAACTACAGAGTTTGTAATGCTATTACTGCGTTCCTATAGAAAGTGAAACCTAAGATTAAATTAATATCATTCCAAACCATATACTGTATTACTCTATATTTTACTCTGTGTCTCTTCGATGGTATATTTCAGTCAGAGAAAAGATGCACAGAAAATAAACATTTTAGGAGGGAAATAATTAAATAAAAAGGGTTGACCAATCGTTAGGCTTCAAATTAAGTGTATTAAATTCTAAAACACCATATTGACAAGTGTTTGTTTTGTTTCTCAGGGCGAAAGAGTCAAGTGAGTCCCTGTGTACTCAACTACAAGAACAGCTGTCCCAGCAAGATCGGAAACTCGCTCTCTCAAAGGTACGATTTGTTGTTGCTGTTAGTTCCCATGCAAGTCTGT